TCTTACTAGCTGGCTAATCTTTCCAAATTTACCCAATAGCTTCAACACTTTTAAAATCTAAAGAGCGTTATAAGGATTAATGATAATCTAAAGGAAAATGCCAAATGATGGCTGGCAAATAGCACAAAATAGTAGCACCTGAATGAATTTCCTATTGCCGTTGTAACAAATTACCACAAATTTAGTGGATTAAAATGGCACACATAGCTTACAGTTCTGGAAGTCAGAAGACTAAAATGGGTCTCTGTTGGCTAAAATCAAGGTGTCAGCAGAGCTGCATTCCCTTCTGGAGGCTTTAGGTGAGAATCTGTTTTCTTGCGTCAGCCAGCGATGAAATGCTACTGCAGTTCCTTGACCCATGGCTCCTTTCTCCATCTTCAAAGGGAGAGAGTAGCATCTTCAGATCACTCTCACTGTGATCTCTATTGCCTTCTTGTGATTACATTGGGCCTGCTGGGTGAGAATCCAGGATAATCTCTTTACTTTAAAGTCAGTTCATCGACAACCATAAATCCATCTGCATACTTAACCACCCCCGTGCCATGTAGCATAGCATATTCTCAGGTTCTGGGGATTGTGGTGTGGACATCTTTTAGAAAGGGGTGTTGCTCTGCATACCATAGGGCTTTTCTCCCTTAACACTTGTTCATTCATTCACATACTTATTAAAGGAAAATATGAATAATAAAAGTATCCTTACCCCCACCCCAAGAATCCTTCTGTTTAGGTAGAGAGCTTAGATTTATACATAAAAAAATTAACTGATAATACAAGATAGTATGAACAAGCCCCACTATGAGCCATTCAAGAGGAGAGATCACTTAGATGAATGAGGGAGAAAAAAAGAATCACTGAAAACTTTGATTTTCTACAATAAATAGTAAGGGTGCCCCCTTCCCTCCACAGATGGTAAACGTGATCTTAGTTTGCATTAAGGTAAGAACTGAGGAGGGGATAGCCTCCCTCCATTTCACCTTGGTGAATCCCCAACAAACTTTGAAGGGTATAAAAAATCTTCAGTGGAGCCAGAGGAGGGCAGCCAACAGGGTGAAGAGCCTAGAATCAGAACATGTAAGAAATTTAGGGATATTTATGGTATGGTCTTCAAATACCTAAGTGACAGACACATGAAAAGAAATCTAGATTTATCTTTGAAAGCTCTGGAGTTTGAAAAAACTAGAGTAAATATGTAGAAGTTAGATTTACACTCAGTGTGCTAACTTGATTTGGTTATAGTTTTCTGAAATGGAATGAGCTACCTGAGTTTCCTGTCCCTGGAGGTATTCAAGTAAAATCTAGACAAGTGTCAAAGAATGTGCTCCCAAAGCACTTTGTTCAGGTCTTGAACATTGTACTTACATTGTAATCATTTGCATTCCAATCTCCCTGTGCAAACTGCGACCTCTTTGGGGGCTGAATCTATCATATTCATTTTTACCTGGCTTAGAAGTTACCAAATGAATGTTGGGTTGGTGAATAGGTGATGCATGAATGAGGCTGAGGGTTGGACAGAGTAACCTTTGGAGTCCTTCCAGCTCAGACTCTCAGTTCTCAGCTAGGATTTCAACTAGGTTTAAAGGATGGAATTGGCTGCAGAAAGGGAGTGGTGGTGTTGCGTTCTGGATTTCACAGTACAGAAAAGGCCCAGAGACAAGAGGGAGCAAATGTGAGTGGAAGAGCTATGTTGGGTGAAGAACAGGAATTAGAGTTGGGGCAGGCGTTTGGGTTCTTTAATATCAAAGATGTCAGATTTTCTCATGCTGCAGTCTGGACCCAGGCTGACACTTGACTAAATCCTGATGAAAGAAGAGAGAAAAAGTGCTCTTACAATCCTATTCATTTTGGTTCTACTGGGAAAGACTGGAGACTTACTATGGACTGAAATGTCCCCCACAATTTTTTTTAAAAATTTTTTTAACACCTTTATTGGAATATAATTGCTTTACAATGGTGTGTTAGTTTCTGCTGTATTACAAAGTGAATCAGCTATACATATACATACATCCACCTATCTCCTCCCTCTCGTGTCTCCCTCCGTAACCCCCAATGTGAAGGGTTAGGATGTGGGGCCTTTGGGAGGTGATTAGGTTTAGATGAGATCATGAGGATGGTGCCCTCATGAATGGGGGTGGAGGGTTAGGTCCCTTATAAAAAGAGACACCAGGGAGATTTCTCTCTCTCTCTTCCCCTCTCTCTCCCTCTACCATGTTAGGAGACATGCAGAAGGGGGCCATCTACAAGCCAGCAAAAAGCACCCTCACCAGGAAACAGAATCAGCCAGTACCTTGCTTTTGGATTTCCCAGCCTCCAAAACTGTGAGAAATTAGTGTCTTTTGTTTAAGCTGCCGAGTCTATGGTATTTTGTTATGGCAGCCCGAGCTGACTACTACAGGGCTATTGCCTAAATATGACAGTAAAGAGTTAAAACTCAGAGCTAGGCAGTGGCAGCAAGAATATAAAGGAGGGGTCAGATGGGAAGAGACATTACTGAAAACATTAAGACTTGGTGGTGAGGTCAATAAGAAAGTGTTTAAAGGGGAGGGTATCAAAGAGGTCCAAAGCTTTGAGCATGAGTGACCATGAGGGTGGACATTTATGTCCACTGCGTTTCTTATTGCAATGTAAGGAATATGAGAAACTATTTGGAATATCCAGGATTTTCCACAGCTGTTTCCATTAAGTTTGTGGGGGGAAAAGGACTATTTTTAATATTGATGAGGACGGAAAGTCAAAAGTATTAGGCTGTGAAGGGAAAACCTTTTTTAGAGATGAGCTGTAGTACTGGTAAAACTCTGCCCTGAATGGCAGTAGTAACAGCAGACACTGTTGTATAAGCCCCACTATGGGCTGGTATGATACGAGACATAGTGTCATCATCCCATTTCCTTAAATTACCCCTGAGTGTGAAGGCCTGAGCCTGTACCCCATACAGTGTCTGCTTTAGGGAGTGCCCAAGGAAAATTCTCATCCATGTTAGCACCAAGTATAATCATATGTTTCTTCAATAATTGGATTTTCTTGGGCTTTCCTGGTGGCGCAGTGGTTGAGAGTCTGCCTGACGATGCAGGGGATGCGGGTTCGTGCCCCGGTCCAGGAAGATCCCACATGCCGCGGAGCAGCTGGGCCCGTGAGCCATGGCTGCTGAGCCTGCGCGTCCGGAGCCTGTGCTCTGCAACGGGAGAGGCCACAACAGTGAGAGGCCCGTGTACCACAAAAAAAAAAAAAGGGGGGGTTTCTTTTTAAAGTTTTTGGACTCTGAGCTAACATCTGACCTTATGTGTGTGTGGTGCAGTTGTGGGGGTGGGGTAAGAGGAGGCTGGAGGAATTATGCTAAGTTTCAGAGCCAGATTGTGGCCCAGTTTTAACATGTGTGTAATGTATTATTATTATTATTTTTTTTTTTTGCAGTACGCGGGCCTCTCACTGTTGTGGCCTCTTCCGTTGCGGAGCACAGGCTCCGGACGCGCAGGCTCAGCGGCCATGGCCCACGGGCCCAGCTGCTCCGCGGCATGTGGGGTCTTCCCGGACCGGGGAACGAACCCGTGTCCCCTGCATCGGCAGGCGGACTCTCAACCACTGTGCCACCAGGGAAGCCCGTAATGTATTATTTTTTAACCTCTTTCCCATTTCTTATTTTTCCCCTATCGTTGTTTTTCTATCCTCCCTCCTCTTTTAATCTATGCTTCCTTATATTTTATGTATCCCTGAAAGTAGTCTTAAATTTGTTCTGGAACAAAGGAAATTAAGTATAAATATATTTCTATTTATATCAGTCCCCATTTTATAGATGAAGAAGCAGAGGCTCAATTAATTTATCTAACTTACCAAAGATCACAGTGGGTGTATTAGTTACCTATTGCTGAGTAACAAATCACCTCCAAAATTAGCAGTTTAAACCAACAAACACATTTTTTCTCACTTGGTTCCTGAGGGCCAGGAATCTGGGAGCGACTTAGCTGGGTGGCTCTAGCTCAGTGGCTGCTAAGGTTGCAGTCAAGCTGTCTGCTGGGGCTGTAGTCATCTGAAAGCTTGACTGGGGCTGGAGACTGCTTCCAACTCACTCACATGGCTGTTCACGGAACATTTCAGTTTCTTGCCGCACAGGCCTCTCTTTAGGGCTGCTCACAACATAGGAGCTGGCTTTTCCAGAGCCAGTGATCTGAGAGAGACAAAGAGAGAGACTTCGAGGCAGAAGCTGCAAAGTCTTTTATAACTTAATCTCAGAAGTGACGTACAATCACTTCTGTATCCTATTGGTCACACAAACCAACGCTGGTAAAGTTTGGAAAGGAGTCCACAGGGCATGAGTCCACAGGGCATGAGTCCCAGGGGTGGGATCCTTGGGGCCTGCCAGCCTCAGTGAGGAAATAATGTAGCTGTGCCTGCATGATGTTGCTTCTACAAAAGCACTGCATTCAGATATGCTCAAGTTTGGCCCCCAGAGCTGTTTTCATTTCTTTAGCCTGAAGGATAGGTGAATGAGCACAGCAAGCTGTGAGGCTCTGGGTTTCAGTTTTCTTCCTCTGATCCCGCTTACAGTTGCCAATGCTGCCACAATTTTATCCATAAAGCTTCGTGTAGCTTCGTAACTATTTAATCACTGCTAAAGGTAAATTTAAATTTGATCCATAAGACAACACTAAATGATTTAACTGTTGGGTACCGCTAAGAAGTGAAAAGTAATAGCTAACATAACACTGTATAGGCTGACAGCCTCTGAATTTGTCAATTGTTTCTTAAGAGACAGTCTAGGGAACAATTGATTATCATTTTAATTCCTTCCCCTTTTTATGTTCTTTGCTTCATGGAGATATATGTGTATAAAGGATAGAAGTTTTTGGTGATTCCGCCCCCCATAAGGTGATTCCACCCCTCATTTGTCAATGTAATGAGAAAATCCATAAAGATATTTTTATGGAATATATTTTTACTGCATTGCTGATCTGTGGCCAAATTATGTCAGGGTAATAAATTAGGACATGTTGTTTTCCTGAATTTAGGAAACTGCCGGGTCAGTGTTCAGTATTCAGACCACAGATCCATGACTCACCAATAAACCACCTGCATAAATGAACACAGTGGATCTCATCTGCTGCTGGCTATTACCCTACCTCTTGATTCTTATTCTGTTCTGCATCCGGAAATTCCATTTTCATTTGAGGTATGTATAAATCGATGTCACTCTCCATGTTTAAACACGACCCCAAACCAATTTCTTAGCCGAGATTGTTTTTCAGAACGATGATGTTGACTAATTATTTAAACTTCAATTAAAATTTGCAAGCCATAGCTGTGTGCCAATGGTATTTGATGTTGTTATAACTTCCTTTACATATCTCTAGGACCTCCCTCCAGGGCCTATTGTGGTATGCCAGTTTGCAAATAAGATGGTCAGTTTTGTCTAGGGAGAGAATTTTCTCTTTACGTTTGACTGACTTATGTACAAATTAATTTGATAAGTTCTCTTAGAGTGCTTACTGTGTTCTAGGTTTTGTGCCATGTTCTGTACGTGGATAAAAGGGTAAGACACAATCTTTGTGCCTTTAAAAACTTGTGGTCTAGCTGCTAGATAAATATTGACAGGAATAATTATGAGGGCTTCCCTGGTGGCGCACTGGTTGGGCGTCCGCCTGCCGATGCAGGGGACACGGGTTCGTGCCCCGGTCCGGGAGGATCCCACGTGCCGCGGAGCGGCTGGGCCCGTGAGCCATGGCCGCTGAGCCTGCGCATCCTGAGCCTGTGCTCCGCAACGGGAGAGGCCACAACAGTGAGAGGCCCGCGTACTGCAAAAAAAAAAAAAAAAAAAGGAATAATTATGAAACAGTGTGATATAGCAGAAGTATTCACAAAATGCTTGAGGAGAAAGAAGGGGATTAGTTCCACCCAGTGGTGGAGGGAGATGATAATCAGGAAAGACCTCTTTTAGATCAGTGGCGGCCAAATGTTGCTCCCAGGACCAGTGCCAGTCTCTAATAGAATTTTCACTGACTTGTGTCAGAGTGAGAATAAAACTAAATTCCATAAGCTAACTTTAAGATTAAAACAAATTCTTTATCTTGCAATTATGTACTGACATTCTTTCTCCTGTTATGTTGTCCTTTGCTTTATGAAGTCATGGTGGTAATATGTATTATTATTTGTTTTCTTTCATTGCAAATTGAAACTTGGCAACCTTGAATCATCCAAAGTTTCATGTGTTCATTCATTTATTGGTCCTTGAAATCCAAAAGGTTACGAGCCCTTGTTATATCTGTGTTGGGGTTGGAAGAAAGATACACTCATATAAAGGCATTCCTGCTGTTTGCCTGTCAGCTGTTTAACCACATCTACATTAAGGGGAAATTAATTTGTGAGAAAGAAAAAAAATACACTTGCTTTTTATTTTTAAATTTTATTTATTTATTTTGCTGTACGTGGGCCTCTCACTGTTGTGGCCTCTCCCATTGCAGAGCACAGGCTCCAGACGCGCAGGCTCAGCGACCATGGCTCACGGGCCCAGCCGCTCCGCGGCACGTGGGATCTTCCCGGACCGGGGCACGAACCCGTGTCCCCTGCATCGGCAGGCGGACTCTCAACCACTGCGCCACCAGGGAAGCCCCACTTGCTTTTTAAAACTGGTTTTGAATGTTTTTCTAGTATGTGTCTGGGGGAGTGCAGGGGGAGGGTAGGTGTAAGAGAAAAAACACTGTGCCTGCACTGGTGCAGAATTTGAACTGTAGCATTGGAAAGCCGCTGTTGCCAACATGAATACTAGTTTTAGAAGGATTCCCACCCCCGTCTCACCCCCACCCACATAAAATCTTAAGAAGTTTAGATAAAATTAAGCTTGATGATTGTAAACCTTCTACTTCTTTCCAGGTGTTGGATTAAAAAATAACCTTTGTATATACGGGCCCTTTATTTCCCCTAATTTTTCACCAGGGGACAGGAGAAAGAGTGAGCCGTTGTATCTGTGTGTCTGAGCAGGTCAGTGGCAGTAGCATATTTAACGTGTCACATTTTCAGTCTGCCTTGTTCATCTCACCTACAGTAGAAAAGCTTTTCATCTATTTGCAAATGGATGCCTCTCAGGAGTTGAGCTATATCCATAATTTTAGAGAATGTTTCATCTTTGAAGAGGGATTCAAAGAGAATGACAAAGATGATAAAAGAGCTGAATATCAAAAGATATTAGATTTAAAAAGAACACTTGTAGGGATTCCCCTATGTGAACTCTGGGGCAGTGATCTTACAGGAACTTATCTGCCCTTAGTTCCTCCCAGCATAAATACTTTAAGAAATGATCAAAGATTTCCTTGAAAATTTGCAAGACAACACTTGTAAATAACAGGCTCTTCTTCTACTGTGCGTTTGGAAGCAGCCCCGTGTGTGGTGAAGTAAGAACCTCTGAAGTCAGAGGATTCAAATTCTTGCCCACTCCTTACTACTGTCAAGTCACAACCTTGCTAAGCTTTAGTTTCCTCCTCTCTACAATGGGAATAATAGTCTTACTGCATAGGGCTGTTGTAAAAGAAGTAATAAGCATGCAACAAGCACAAACTACTACTATTCTTATATTTAAAGTTTTATTATTGCTACTTTCTCCTGGAAGGAGAGCCTCTCTCCTGGCCCTTCTCTCCTTCTCTGCTCTGCACTGTCTTCCATCTCTGAGTCTGGAGGGTCTTGATTCAAGTGAACATGTGTATTGGTTGATTCTTTCAGCTTCCTTGAAACCTCCATCTGCACATGAACAATGACAACAAAATAATGTTTATAGGGCAGATCATTTATTTTGCTTAACTGTCATATATTAAAGCAAATGAATCAAAATTGTATGTCACAATATTTCTAGACAAAATCAAGTACAGAAAAAAATGTGGGGTTTTTTTGTTTTGTTTTGTTTTGTTTTTTTGCGATACGCGGGCCTCTCACTGTTGTGGCCTCTCCCATTGTGGAGCACAGGCTCCAGACGCGCAGGCTCAGTGGCCATGGCCCACGGGCCCAGCCACTCCGCAGCATGTGGGGTCCTCCTGGACCGGGGAACGAACCCGTGTCCCCTGCATCGGCAGGCGGACTCTCAACCACTGCGCCACCAGGGAAGCCCAGAAAAAATGTTATTTAAGCAAATTATATACTCTATTAACAATCCACAGGCTTCGCTCTCCCCATGACCTTTAGCAACTCAGCAATGGAATATTGGAAGAATATAAACACACTAGTGATGATGAGATGATGGAATATTCCATGTCCTTCCTGGTTCCTGCTTTGCAAAGAGAGAGAGAGAGAGAGAGAGAGAGAGAGAGGTAGAGAGAGAGGGAAACATGGCCTCAAGGGATAGAATCGTGATGTGGTCTGGCACACAGAGGTGTGCTGTCCACCCTGAAATGACCAGCTAAGCTGTTGGAGATTAAGATAGAGAAGTTAAGAAGGGCCCTTTACACACACTCCCAAGCAGCAAATTTTGTAATTAAGTTAAAAGATGGTGAAGGGGTCATGAGGTTACATCTCTTGCTTAGAAATGTTGAACTGACCTAACCTTGAAAAGTACTGAGTCATTCCTTCATTCAACCAATAATTGTTGGACACCCAACGTGCACCAGACACTGTTCTGGACACTGGAGGGCAAACAGGACCTAGCCCCTGTTCTCATGGAACTTGCAATCCAGTGGGGAAATCAACGTGTTAGGGGAAACACTGACTGAAGCTGCCCACCCTGGCCAGCACCACAGTAACCATTTGCATGAGTTATTTTACAACAGGAGGTCCTGGTAAGCACGTGGAACTAACAAGCCACCACCAACCAGAAGAATTCGGGAAAGGTCAAAAGGAGACGCCAGCCCGTGTGTCCTACCAACCTCCCAGAATCCTCCTCGCTGGAATCCAGCTTGGCTGAGCCATGCGTGCACCACCAGGAAGGACCCTGAGTCAGAATGATTGGCCGGAGACTAACCCAGAAATTAATCCCATCACCATAAAACCCGGGACTGTGAGCCACGTGGCACAGCAGTCCTCCTGGGTTCCCTTTCCCTCCTGCTCTCCACGCGGGTGCTCCTTCCCACTAAAGTCTCTTGCTTTGTCAGCACGTGTGTCTCCTCCGACAATTCATTTCCGAGTGTTAGACAAGAGCCCACTCTTGGGCCCTGGAAGGCATCCCCCTTCCTGCAACAAATACAGAAAAAACTCCACAGGAATTCACAGCAGAACCAAACTTCCGGTGGCATAGGAAGGCCCTGAGGGTGGCCTTGGTGACTGATGGGTCATAATCACCCTGCTTAATGTTCACTCAGAGATTTAGGTGTGTTTTCGTGTTATTATACTAATTACCAAGGCAGTAATTTCCAATTAAAGCCACAAGGGGTTTTGACCTCTCAAAAATGATTGACATGGCTTTGGAGATCTATTTTTGTCCTGCTTTCTCAAGTTCATGTTCTTTGTGGTAGCCAACAAGGAAAATACCACGCTGCCACAAGTGTAATTTTATAAGCTCTATGTTATCCGTGACACTTGGGCTGTCGTGATGCTGACATGCTGAGAAGCAAACCTTTGATTTACCTAATGTAATTTTGTGCTTTAAGCATTGGGGTTATCTGCCTAGGGCTTTACTCTTTGATATAGTTAACTTTTTTTGGTATGCCTTCTTAAGTTTCAATGTAAATTTTAATGAGTCAGAAATCTTGCCTGAGACCAAAACCTCGATAATATTATATGTGCTGGTGAAGTCATGAGAGTGACCTTCAGATTTCTGTGGGCAGGTGGTTTGTAAAGGAGGAGGGTTAGTTTTAACCTTAACCCCCCTAGAACCCTTATGGAAAACATGTGGTAAATCAAGTAGGGCATGTTAGGTGTTGCATTTCAGCTGTGGAGTGATATCTAATACCAAGTCAGCATTTGTTGTTTACTCTGGATGTACTACTGTATTAAGTAGTTAAGAACAAGTCTTCTCTCAAATATCCCCCTCAGATAATTCATTAATTACAACAGGAAAAAAATGGTAACTTTACAGTGGGGAGACCTGACAGGTACCACCATCACCAGCGAACCCGACATCCTCAGCGATGGCGTTGTTGACCGCCATGAAGTTCTGCCAGAGATGCCATGGGAAGTGCACAGCCTCACCTGGGTAATATTCCTACCAAAGAATGGTTAACCTGAATCTAATCATGAGGAAACAAGCAGACAAAACCAGATTGTGGGACACTCTGTTAGGCAATTGGCTCGGACTCTTCAAAAATGTAATGTTGGAAAAGATTAAAAAAAAAAAGTGGGTAAATGCTCCCAATTAAAAGAGAAAGAGACCTGGCAGCTGGAGGATAAGATGCTGAAGGAAACTGAAGGAAAGGACAGTAGACGGAAGGGGAGGGGAGGAAGGAAAAAACTATCTATAAAAGATATTTGGGGGGAAGTTGGAGAAATTTGAATATAATCTTTATTTGATTATCCTTTTGGTGTTAAATTCCTTGAATCTGATCATTATGAAGGAGAATGTCTTTGCTCTTAGGAGATACATAATGAAACATTTTAGATGTGAAATGTCCTGAGGTCTGCAAACTTTCAAGTGCTCAAGACAAAAGTAAACATAGAAAGAATAAGAGAGAAATAAACATGGCAAAATGTTAATTGGTGAGTGTAGGTGTAGGCAATATGTGTGTTCATTGTGTTATTCTTTCAATGTATCTGTCTAAAGTTTTTCAAAACAAAAAAGAGGGAGACAAGGGAAGTCTATTTGAGGGAAATTATTATAGAAATCTGGAACAAAAACAAGAAGTAAGAAAACATACATGCATACAACTTAGCTGTGATGCCTCAGAGGAATAAAGCCCAGGACGGGGGACAGACCGTGGAGTAGGAGTCACAAAGCTTGTGTTCTGGTGTGTCCTCGGCCATCACCCTCCCTGGGATCATGGGAAGTTTGCCTAACTCTGTATTCATTTCCTAGGTCTGCTGTAACAAGTGCCACAAACTACACGGCTTGAAAAAAACAGAAATGTATTGTCTCACAGTTCTGGAGGCTGAAGTATGAAATCAAAGTGTTGGCAGGGTCAGGCTCCCTCTGAAATCCAGAGAGAAGCATCCTTCCTCTCCTCTTGCTCGGTTCTGGGGGGTTGCCAGCAGTCCTAGGCACTCTCAGCTCGCAGCTGCAGCCCTTCAATCTCTTCCACCGTCTGTTACATGGTGTTCCTCCCTCGTGTGTCTGTCCCAGTATCCCTCCTCCTCTAGTAAGGACAGCAGTTGTATTGGATTAGGGTCACCCTAGTGACCTCATCTGAAGCTTGATTACATCTGCGGAGACTCTGTTTCCAAATAAGTTTGCATTCACAAGTGCTGGGGTTAAGGCTTCGACAGATCTTTTCAGGGGATACAATTCAACCCATAACACTCTCCATCCTCGTTTCTCCAACTCCCAACAGGTGTGGGGTATGTGGTGGAGCTGGTCTACCAGAAAGCACTCTGAGGTCCCTTCAGCTCAGAGAGTCTGAGGCTCCAAGTATCCACCATTCTAAGTGCAGAATTAGTCATCCTTGGACAACTAAGGAGCCCAAGAGAGAATGATTAGAAGGAAGTTCCAGGTCATTATAAAACAGATAAGAAACATGGTCTTTGGAAACATGATTCATGTACATTCTTGGCATAGCAGGCTATTTTGCTCATCACAGTCACCTTTCTGGTTTTCATTTTTATTTGTTGAATGATTGTTGGTTAAAAGTTTTCTAAGCTGAATTCCCATCCTGTTACCCATAAAATTACATAAAATGAGTTGCTAGAGTTAAAAAAAACATAACTTTCACATCACAACTGATTTTAGATGTTGGCTAGGCTGCCAGCTGGAGCAGATTAACAAGGAAAATCAAGACTCCTCTCTCTGTCTTTGTCCTTCAGGCTAAAAAAAGGCAAGATAAGAAGAGAGGACGCTCTGTAATGAATAAGGGTGTTCGTGCCTCCTGCTGGGTCAGCCCTGGGTATCTGGAGGAGGAGACCCTTTGAGGCCCTGGGGGTGGGTTCTGGCTGGGAGGAGAATTGCAAGTGGAGGGGTGGGGGCAGCATAAATGGAGATGAGAACTGTCTACACTCTCTCCTGATGTTCCTGTCCTTCAAAGAGAAAACTGTGTCACAGCCCGGGAAGGGGAAAGCACTGATCACTGAGTTGAAAGAGGACATTTTCCCAGAGTTCTAGGCCCACAGTCCTCAGTGTGACATGTGTACAAAGATGCATCTGCCTCCCTCTTGCGTCTCCCTCCACATGACCTAAGGTGGACACCAGATATGTAAACAAGGACAGGGCAGTGTCCCATCTGGAAATCTCTGACTCGTGTGCCAAAAACCTCAGCAAAATGGAATCTTCTCCAAAATTAAATAGTGCTATTTTTTTCCTGGCTTTCAGAAATTATTTAGATAAACAATGGGTAATTTAATTATAATGTTATTATGAAAGCCGGTCCTGTCACCTGCTGCCAACGCAAGGTAAAAACACTGGGAATTCACACTGTGTTGTTATTATTCTGGTCTTTCTTTGCCACTCCTTCAGCAATGGGAGTTATGGATTTGTCAGCATTTCCATTATTACCTCTTATTTTCAAGGCTTCTGTCTTAGTTGCTGAAATTGCATTGTACTGGATGGAAGCCTAGAGGTAATTTCCTTTAGTGTTATAGCAGCTGCATTCTTTCATGGTTGTGTGTGACTGTGCAAGTGATTTCAATATCTTTTTATTAAAAAATTAATTCATGCGTAAGTCTCAATTCTTTTTTTTTTTTTTTTTTCCGGTCCGGGGGTCGAACGGGCGTCCCCTGTTTTGGCCGTCCCCCTTTCGGGCCTTGCGCCACCAGGGAAGCCCCAATTCTTTTTTTTTAATGCATATAGCTCTTATACAAGATTGAGGTATGAATCATATGAAGTAAACATTTACGAACAGTCCACAACTCAAGAAAGGCATTGCCTTGGCAGTAACAAAACAAGGTGTGGCAAGGAAGTAATGAGATCAGTGTGGTGATTATTAGTCATAGTTCTTTATGGTCATACATTGTGTATCTCTGAGATTTACAATGTAAAACAGAAGGAAAAGCAGATATGGTCTTTAAATTGTGAATTTAAATGATATAAATTATGCTTGTATAGACATTGGGATCTTCTCATCAAATCTTAGAATTCTAGTATCTGAAAAAGACCCTAGATCTTCTTTTATCCATCAGTTATGAATACCTATTCTGTCAATTCCACATTCCCTCTTCTGCCCTTCCAGTAATAGATCAGTTATCTATTGCTGTGTAACAAACAATCCCAATACTTGGTTTTTGGTTAAGGAAACAGTCACTGAGTAGTTCACAATTCTGGGTGTTGGCAATTTAAACTGAGCTCAGCTAGGTGGTTCTTCTGCTAGTCCTGCCTGGGTTTACTCCTGTGGCTACAGTCAGCGAGCGGTTCAGCCAGAAGCTGATTGAATGTGGACGGCCTCATCACGTGTCTCGTGGTTGGCTATGGTGCAGAGGCAACTGTGCCATGTGTCTGCAGCACCCAACAGGCTACCCCAGGCTTTTCACTGGCCACTGGGTTCCAAAAGCAGCAAAAGAGAGCAGATCCCAATTCACAAACTCTTTTCAAGCCTCTGTTTGTATCACCCTTGCTAGTGTGTCATTAGCCAAAGCAAACCACATGACCAGGCTCAAGTGCAAAGAGGTGAAGAGATAGGACTCCATCTCTCTATGGAAGGGACAACATAAATGGAAGTAGGCATCCATTTGTTTTTTATTTGGAAACTGGGGTGCCATCCTGATAGCTTCAGCTGAGATCTCCCTAGTATTCAATCTCACCTGAGAAGAAACAGAAGGGGAGGTAGTTATGGGCCGCTGTGCATAGGACCAAAAAACCTCCTAATGGAAGTGACAATTCATCCTAAAGAGAGAGGAGAGTCCAAGATTGTCCAAGGTCATTAAGTCAGTGATGGGGGTGGCTACACCTCAGCACAGCCCTTATCTGTCCCTCAGATGGCCCAATCCTGCCCCCATGTTCTGTACACAAGACCTGGAGAAGAGGCTGCAATTAAAAGAACAAAACAGAGTTTCAGTGAAGTTTCTAGGGAAGAAGTGGGGATTTAGAGGGTGAAGGGAGTTTCCTCATTTGGGTCTCCTCTGGGGATGGGGTGTGGGGTGTTGGGCTGAACCCAGTCTGCTTCTGGACCAGAGTTGATGTGGGAGAGGAAACTGGCCTGGGACAGGCAACCAGGCGATTGACACAGGCTTCGATGGAATGTGCAGGAGAACCTCACAGCCTTAGCAGGTCAAATCGGGAGAGAGGATTTATTCCCAAGAGCACATAAGACACCCTCTCCCAGATGAACTGGAGGACACTGAGGGAACTCAATACTTATACTCAAGTATAAGTCACAGCTCCTGTGTTTAAGCCAGTGTGTGAGTATGTATGTGTTACTCTGTGATGATGTGTAAGCCATAACTTATATAAGCAACCGTGCTAGAGAAGGGGATCTGGGAGCCCTCGATCAGAGAGAGACTTCAGGGAAGGGATAAGACTGAAGATAAATCTGCAAATATGGGAGGACTCAGGAGAGGATTAAGATGGAGAATATTCCAAAGAGTAATCAAAGTAATCTACCAATGAGGGTAGTTAATACTTTACCGAAAACCCAGCTCTTTTACTAAAAGCTATTTTGTCTTAGATCACCGTGGTGGAGACATGAGAGAAATTGTAGGATCAGAGGAATTTGGGAGGAAGTCTGTCCCCTGATGCCCTTAGAATCTCAATATTTAGAATCACTATGGAAATCAAATTACTTTAGCAATGGCATTGATGAACTACTGCCAGAGTATAAATGAGTGGGGCGTGTGTGTGTGTGTATGTGTATATGTGTGTATGCGTTTAGAATCTCAGTCTTTATTGGCTGCAAGGCTTAAAACACTCAGGCCCAGTGCCAGGGCTCAGATCTTGTTGAAAGCAGCAATGTCAACGCTCAGCACGTAAGGGGGCAAGAGGAAGCAGAAAGAACATAGAAGTCTTAGATAAAATGATGAATAACGTATAACCCATTTATTAATATGTATTTATTTATACGCTATCTTTTGCAGAAGAAAGGTAGGGTGACTTAAATGAATACATTCATATATTATATATTACATACATATAACTTGAGGGCATACATTTCAAACAAGGATGAAATAACTTTTGCATAAATTTTTTTCTGTATTACTATATTTATAGCTTTACACTTGTGGGGACAATTGAATGGTACTTCCATACTCCGACCTATGTAAAAAAAAAAAACAGGTGTCTGTTGTGCAAGTTGGGTCCCTTCTGAGTCACCACCTACTGTGCATCAAGTTTGGAATGAATTCTACAACCTCACCTGGTTTGGGTTAAGGAATAGGCTTTATTGGGGAAAGGGAAAACCTAAAGGCAGATTACACAGAAAGAGAGTACTGGGTTCCCTACTTCCCACAGTCCCACAGAGAGACAGGCAAGCGTGCTTGGCAGGAAATATGGTGTGGGTTTATGTTCCAGTAGAGGAACAGTATCCCTCCTTATTCTGCCTTTTCTATAAAGCAAGTATAAGCTGCCTTGTCAGTGGGAGAATACTCAGGCAGCTTGATCCAGTCTGGATTGGGGGGCCCAGCTGTTTACAGGGGCTGCTGGGAAAGCCAGCAGGCAAGGTCCATAGGATGCTGCAGGCGAAGGATACTACCAGTCCCATGGGAAGCCAAGCTTGGGTGTAGCACTTCTACTGGGAGAAGGAGGTCTCTGGTGCCTGCTAGCTCATTGGTCACGCAACCAGAGTCAGCTGCCATGGTCATTTTCAGACTGTTTTGCTCATCACACTATAGTGAGTGAGAAGTCTGCAGCCAGGAAGCCTAAAACTTGCTATGGTGGCCTTACAAAATTCTCTTCACCTGTCTGACCCTAATTAGAGGTTCTAGTACTTAGCCTACTCTGTTGGTTGTTAGGGAATCAAATGAGATTGACCAGAAGAGAAACAACTAAAATGGGAGGCTGGCAATATAGCCAGCAATATTTTTCAGCACTCTGCTTTTAGAATTAAAAGGTAAATCATACAAGTGAATGTTCATAACTTATCCAAAGTATGCCTTCCAAATGATAAATTCAGCCCGTTCTTCCAAGCCTCAACATATTAGAACTCAGTATAATAAAATAATTGATGCTTAGAATAGTGAGCTGGGGGCATTTCAACATCCCCAATCATCGAAAAGAAGGAATACGGACCAAAGCACAGGAGAGAAAAATTAGCTAATATGTAAATCAAAAACCAAAATAATAATAATCATAGTAACAATAACGGATGGTTGTGGCAGACACTGGTGGCCAATCACCCACCAGGCAGCCCCTTCTTCCTTGCTAGAACCCCCATTTTGCTTTAGCTTTCACAGGGCACCTCCACAGCCTATGAGTAGATCCTTGTTATCCTAAGTCAATCATGGTGCTTCCACAGGCTTGCGATGTGATTCTGGTCAAAGAGTTGTGAGAGAAGGTCTTCAGGGGACTCATGGGAAAGGGTCTCCTTGTCCTTGAAGAAGGGTGGCTGCTGAGAGGTGTGAAGTGTGTGCTGCCTTCAGAATTGCTGCCAAAGTCCCGTCCTCCAAACCCTGTCTCCAATGATGCTGCCTGCCCTTACGGGGTCTCCCGGATTGCTCCCTCTCTCCCCGTCAGAATGACTCTCTCCTCCAGGGCGCCCCATCGTGCCGGACCCTAGGACACATTCCAGCTTGCACTATGTAAACTCTGTGGTGATGGAAAGACCATGGGCTCTGGAGCCCTGCTACCTGGGGGTGCCCCCAGGTCCCTGGCTACCTATTTGGATGCCTGTATCCTACTATCCCATAATTATCCTGTTACTGACTTTCCCCATGTGACTGGGCCCCACCTCAGGCCCATGTCTAATCACCACAGTCTCCCCAGCACCTAAAATGTTCATGGCACCAGAAGCAGCCAGAAAAGTTTTCCTGAAGGAGTCAGAGAGGGAACTAATTTATCCCAGTTGCTTTTATTCCAAGTGATGCAACCTTGAGAAAGTGATATAACCTGTCTGTGACTTTATTTCCTTACCTATAAATTGAGGTGATAACGTCTGTTTGTAAAGGTTATTGAGATAATGTATTTTTTTTTTAGAAACTGTAAATACTAGGGAGGAGGAAGGAAAATGAGGGAAGATCCGTGTCACATGAGTGGGGAGGACCATGTCAAGTAATAATGATGCTATTAATAAGAGCTAGAACTTTTTTAATAGCTGTCACATATGTTATACCATTGTCTCATTAACTACTTCCAACTCTTTGAGGAAGGGATTACTGCACCCATCATAAAGATAACAAAACTGAAACTCAGGGAGTAAAGTACTAACCAGGTGGCAGAGCTGGGATTCAAAGCATGCCTTAGAGGCTAAGCATTAGCATTTCGGTGCCCATCTCAGGGACAAGCTGGTAGCTGGCTCCAGAGAGGCATCAGGCTGAAGACCTGGTCCAGGCTGTCCTCATTTAACACCTATTCTTAATAACTTAGAAGAGAGCAGGCACAGCGTGTGCTTCAAAGACCAGAGACGGAAACCAGAGCTGACGTCCAAAGGAGCTGGTGCAGAGTGGGAGGGAGGAACTGGGATTCAGTTTGGGGAAGTACAAACCAAACTAGCCACAGGGAACTAATCCACAGCAAAGGTAGAGAGGCCAGGAGAGAAAGGACAGCTGAGAGGCTGAAAAGCAGCT